ACTATCGTTTATTAGTTTATTAGCTCAGTGAAACTTAGGATATAAGTTTGATTCTATTGGCCATTATATTAATAATATGTAAAATAGATAAAAAATAAAACAAAGTTCTAATTTCATTTTTAAATTTTTTTCTTATTTTTAAATCACTTCAGTTAGATCTATATAAACAAGGTCTACTGACTCTGTAGGTGATCCAGAGACGAGGGGATTATGGAAACCCCACAGATTACTTCTACAAATCATGGCAAGAATTCAAAATGGGGTTTGGAGACATAGAGAAAGATTTTTGGCTGGGTATGATGATATAGTAGAATAAACAGTCTCTACTGTCACTCGTATGTAACTATAATAGACGTATATTATGTAAAATATTTATAGAATATCAAATGTAATAAATAGGATAAATAATGGTAGTTTTATTCGCCAATTTTAATTTTCTGTCACATTATGAAAGCGATTATTGTTGATGTTAATTAATTGAAAAACTTCTTTATTGTATTTACAATTTGATAAATAAAATTAATTAAAGTCTCTTATTTTCTTAGTAAATTACTGGATTTTTACTTTAATGAATCAAGGAACATATTCAACCAAGTTTGATCTGAGAGACAAGGAAATTGAAAAACGCTTTACCCTCTATCGGGAGCTTAGGATGGACAGTGAAGACCTATACTATCGTCTACATGTTAAATGTTACACAGGAGATACAGGTAAGGTTTATAACAATACTGATCAATGATCTTGGTTATATAGATGATTTAGTACACTCTCAGGGTTGGATATATTGTCTGTATTATCTGTCAATGTACACCAACTCATAACATACTATAGTGTAAATATAGACCTGTAAACGTTGAATAAATTATTGTCTTATCAACTACGTCCAGACATATCACATATAAAGAATGTCAAATTTTTACTCACAGATAGCTTAGTTAAACTGTCTTTTAACTCAACTCAATCCAGAGTTTATCAGACCGGCTGGAACACATCAAGCACGGCAGTTTGTTCGGAATAATATTATTCTAGGGCCCACATTCTTTTAATTATTGAAAATCCGTAGAAACTGGTTATAAAATACAGGGTTGAAAGAATATAATGAACCTAATACTAATATTATGATAAACAGTAAAACGTACATAAGATAGCACTTTATATCGATGGATTAAAGATATAAATATATATAAACATGATTAATTAAAATTAAATTATGCATTTTTACACGTACTCGCAATTATAAAGAACTTTAAAAACAAAAGTAAAAGTGTAATATAAATATAAATCTAACAGTATGACACGAACAAATCTTTAAAAAAATCAATTCATAACACAATGTATATAAGTAACTGAAGCGCTGACAACAAACGTAAGATGCAAATCTAGAAATAATATATATATATATTCATACACAGAAGTAAGAAGAAATACATCAATAAAGAAGAAAGCAGAATAATAAAATATACATCGAAGATTTATTAAAGAAGCTTTAGAGTGTTTATGTCGTGTCAGTTTCAATACTGGATCAAACAAACGTGACAATGTCCTTGATTATAACTATAGTAAACTGAAATATATAATGAGGAATTTTCAAATCATGTAAGTTTTGAATGAGATACTTAGCATTCTTAACAATAGTGTCTGTATGGTAAAAAAGTGGAGTAATTTACTTACCATTCTTAATATAGGAGTATTTATGGTAATCCAGTGGAGTAATTTACTTACCATTCTTAATATAGGAGTCTTTATGGTAATCCAGTGGAGTAATTTACTTACCATTCTTAATATAGGAGTCTTTATGGTAATCCAGTGGAGTAATTTACTTACCATTCTTAATATAGGAGTATTTATGGTAATCCAGTGGAGTAATTTTCTTACCATTCTTAATATAGGAGTCTTTATGGTAAGCCAGTGGAGTAATTTACTTACCATTCTTAATATAGGAGTATTTATGGTAAGCCAGTGGAGTAATTTACTTACCATTCTTAATATAGGAGTCTTTATGGTAAGCCAGTGGAGTGACTTACTTACCATTCCTAAGATATGAGTCTCTATGGTAAGCTAGTGGGTAATTTACTTACCATTCTTAAGATAGGATTCTGTCTGGTAAATCACCGGAAGGGAGAACAGTTTATTCTTTTATAGACTTTATGTTTCTCATTGGATTGGTTACAGAAGGTAGTTTGTTCGTTATAAATTTACTGTTTTAACTCAGATTACGATCTTACAACGACACAAATGTAACATATGACGAATATTTTTAAACAAACCTTTCTGTAAATGACGTTTGTAGCCTTCAGGTGGAGCCACTTTTGAGTAATATCTTGCTCATATCAACAAATCAGGGATATAATGATTTATATTCCTAGAAGTACAGGATCCTATTTTCTGGAATTGCTTTAAGAACTGGACAATACCTGACCTCTACTGGCTAACTTCGCGTTATATTTATCTTTTCTTGTATTAGATAAAGAACTGTGGTTTATTGTTTTGGGCGATAAAATGAAGATTTAAATAGAAAAGCTAACAAAAACCAGTAAGAAATCTGTTAAAATTAGATTAAGCTCGTTATTTCCATGAAAATCAGTAGCATGCAACTGTTATTAAATCTTTAAAACAAGCGATTTTTACTTCTTTAAAAAAAATAGAAGATTTAGATAAAGTTTTCTTTGATTATTGTCCTGCAATGAATAGTGACTGTTTATAGAATGTTACACATAGTTCGTTATATACTATGTTAACACTACAATAAATCTTGTTACAATAACAGTAATACTAATACCACAGGAAGTTTCAGTCCATTAAAGTCCTCAAACCTACTGTGTCTCCTCTGCCTAAAGTTATATATTATGTTAACACTACAATATATCTTGGGCCCGGCATGGCCAGGTGGTTAAGGTGCTCGACTCGCAATCTGGGTTCGAATCCCTGTCACACCAAACATGCTCGACTTTTCAGCAGTCGGGGCGTTCCTAAGTCCGGATGAAGAGGGAAGGCTGTCAAGTGGGTTGCATCCTTGACGTAAGAAACAGCTTTAGAAACGATGGCAGAGCAAAGAGATCTGCCATCGGCTCAACGGTCCGCAAAGGACTATGAGTAATATTAATACAACAGAAAGTTTCAGTCCATTAAAGTCCTCAAACCTACTGTATCTCCTCTGCCTAAAGTTCCACTGAAACAACATACCATTGCTGTTTTATTTCATAGCTTTAATTAAGAGTTATTGATAACATATTAATTGATTGTCATCCTGTAACCAATAATAAATGTTTATAGAATGTTACACATTATTTGTTATATATTATGTTGATGATAAACCCCACTTAACAGCTTTTTACCTCGATACCCAAGGGGACAATTTGACAAATCACAACGGGTTAAATTTCTCAACCAAGGACAGTGACCACGATACGTATTCTGGTAGTTGTTTAGAGTTATAAAACGTCGTGTAGAAAGACTCTCGGTAGTGGCCGCATTTTTCGGACACGAGTGCTTACGTTTTCCTCACTACCGTAAGTCTTAATATTTTAAGAGCTATAATTATGATCTTGGTATAGGTACATCAAGTAACTCTAAAGAATCTCTTGTGTTTAATATTAGAAATAAAAACATCATCTATATTAATCAGTCATAAACTATTGAAAAATTATTCTGTCTTGATTCAAAGATTGGTAGAATAATTAGAAACAAGATCACCAGTCAACAAAAGTTATTCGGAATATCTTATTGATTGTATATATACAACACAGAGTGGATTGATTCTAAATACAATACAGGGGGAATTAACTGCAAATACAAAATAGGGCGGATTAATTTTAAATACAACATATTGTGGATTAATTCTAAATATAACATATGTTTGATTAATGATAAATGCAACACAGGGTAGATTAATTATACTTACAACATATGATATTTTATTACTTCTAAATACAACATATTGTGGATTAAATCTAAATATAACATATGTTTGATTAATGATAAATGCAACACGGTAGATTAATTCTACTTACAACATATGATATTTTATTACTTCTAAATACAACATATTGTGGATTAATTCTAAATATAACATATGTTTGATTAATGATAAATGCAACACAGGGTAGATTAATTCTACTTACAACATATGATATTTTATTACTTCTAAATACATCATATTGATGATTAATTATAAATTCACGTATTGACGAGTTAATTCTATATACAACATAGGGTCAATTAATTTTAAGTCAAAAATATTGAGGATTAGATATAAATACTCTATTATGAAATCCTTAAAGCATGAGTGATATTCAATTTTCAGAGACGACCAACCACTTGTGGTAATTACATGAGTAATACTTCATGCTCGTAAATCAACTTCCATACTGTTGTTCCTCACTCAGAGACTAAAAAAACTGCCAGACAAGGTGGAACACAGGGTGAATTAATTCGAAATACACAATAGGGCGATTGATTCCAAATACAACATATAGTGGAATAATTCTAAACACAACATATTAATAATTTGTTCTAAATACAATATACTGATGATTGATTCTAAATGCAGTATATGTGGATTAATTGTAAATACAACATATGGTTGATTAATTGTAAATACGACATATTGATGATTTAATTCTAAATACAACATATTTGTGATTAATTATAAACATGACAGAATGATGATTAACAATAAAAACATCAGATTGACGATTTAATATAATATAGGGTCGATTAATTCTAAGTCGAAAATATTGAGGATTAATTTTAAATACACTATTAGACAATCCTTATACAGATAAAAGCATGAGTGCTATATTCTATCTTCAGAGACGACCAACCACTTATTGTAATTACATAAGTAATATTCCATACGCATAAATCAACTTCCATATTATTGTTCCTAACTCAGAGGCTTGAAACATTCTTCTAACTACGGTTCCAATATGCCAAGATATACTCATAAACAGCGTAGTAAACACATGGAAGGAACAGTTAAACCTCGAGTCACACCAAAAATCTCAGACATTACGTTAGAACAGCTAAGTCACGCACAAGACAAGTAGTTAAAAAGAGAACAGATGGAACAAACAAGTAGATGTAGTACAATTAAAACATTTGCAAATACAGGGAAATAAACTGAAGAAAGCATTGCAGGAAGCAGAAAAACAAATAGTAGTAATATAACACAAAGATCTGCAAGGAGCAGAAGAACAAATAGTAGTAATATAATACAAGGATATGCAGGGAGCAGAAGAACAAATAGTAGTAATATAATACAAGGATATGCAGGGAGCAGAAAAACAAATAGTAGTAATATAATACAAGGATATGCAGGGAGTAGAAAAACAAATAGTAGAAATATAACACAAGGATCTGCAAGGAGCAGAAGAACAAATAGTAGTAACATAACACAAAGATCTGCAGGGAGCGGAAAAACAAATAGTAGTAACATAACACAAGGATATGCAGGGAGCAGAAAAATAAATAGTAGTAACATAACACAAGGATATGCAGGGAGCAGAAAAATAAATAGTTGTAACCTAACACAAGGGTCTGAAGGGGAAAGGAAAATATAATGAAATAATATAACATATAATTGTCATTCGTGTTTATGAGATCCGAAGTAGAAAAAATAAGGGAAAGATATTACGAAAATATATTAAATAAAACTATAAAATATTATATAGAATTACAAGATATTAAATAAAACTATAAAATATTGAATAGAACTACAAGATATTAAATAAAACTATAAAATATTGAATAGAACTACAAGATATTAAATAAAATTATAAAATATTGAATAGAACTATAAGATATTAAATAGAACTATAAAATATTGAATAGAACTATAAGATATTAAATAGAACTATAAAATATTGAATAGAACTATAAGATATTAAATAGAACTAAGTAGAACTATAAAATATTAAGCTATTTATTTATGTAGTGTATTACATATCACAACAAATTCTAGATATGGTTTACACAGAATAAACGAAACTCGAACAGCAAACAAAAACTGATACATAATAAATATTAAATTATTTATTAAATATACTTTAGTGAAAAAAATTGTTGTTTTTAATATATGCTTGTTTCAGTCTGGCTGCTACAGCTGGAGAACAAACGCCGAGACAAGATGAGGACTGGAACAAGTAAAATTGTATATAACTATATTAAACCTAACCAAAGCTTTTTGCAGTATCCCACAATTCTAGATCACCTATTTCAGTGACGATTGTAGTTGTACATGTTCATGAAACATTGACTAAGAGTTCAGGTCATATAAGATGTTTGTGTTTCAGATCACAGATTACCCGAATTAGACTTATCATCTAATTTTGAGAGAAATTAGTTCCTATTGATTGAAAAAGCAACTGAAATGGCATTTTCAAGAGTAAAGTTTACTTTTTGATATTCACAGTTCAAATCGTATATAAAGCTGGATATTATTAAAAATGAGAGGTTTTGATTATGTATCTAAATCCTTCTGTCTAATAAAAGTTGTGAATATTTAAAATGTTAACTAACTTCATTCTACTGCACTATGTATCCATGTGAATATATATATAACAATACTGTATATTTTGATAAACGAGCAGTTACAGGTGACCGAATTTCATAAATATTCAAAATAAGAAAAAATTGTATAAATTTGGAAAAATAAAAGTTGAAGCATTATCAGTATGTCGAAACAGAAAATAAGATTATAGTGAATAAGACGTGAAACTTCTTCAGAATGGTTAAAACAAACTGAAAAACTCTTGTCAATAAGTCTGTTGAGAACATTCAACTGGTTCATATTTTCAATGTTATTCACATAGTTGTTGGAATATGTTGGAATATCAATTGTGTAAAAGTTTCGGTTTCAGTTTGTTCAAAATAATAGGGTTGTTTCAGGTCTACGTATTTACGTGAACTAGTACTTATCGGGACTGTTCAGTGGTAGAAAGATTCCACTGCCTGTGGTTACCAGCTGCTACGTAATAGACAAAGTATGCCATCTGAGGATTACATAACTATTGTATATTATGCCAATACCCGAGGGTTACATAATTCTTCGCAACATACAAAGAATACCATCGTCTGAGGGTTATTTAACTCTTATATAACAGGTGTGATTCTCTTAGGGAAGGAGTAACAATGTGATTACACAAAGTGGCACCAAAAGGCACGACTCTTTTAGGGGAAGGATGATATTATAGTTCGATACCAGAGAGTCTGTTACTATAGGTAACTGGTATTAGCAGGATTGTATAGGCTGGCAGAGTTAACACGGTTCTATAGACGGGCGGTGTTACCGAGGTTCTATAGACATACGGTTTTACTAAGGTTCTATAGGCTGACAGTGTTACCAAGGTTCTATAATGTGATATTACATGATTCTATCATTGGATCATAAAGTACCGTGAATACCATAGTGTACGTTTTCAACATGGTGATATAAGTTCTGTTATATCACGACAAAAGGTGTGGTCTACAAGAAAATATATATTTATCTTTTTACATGAAATCAGCTTATAAAGAGCGTTCATATAAATTCCCAAGAAAAAACAAAAACAAAACAAAACATGTCAGACATCTACTTAGGTGATTAGATTCATCTCCAGAATCCGTTGATCAAAGATCATGCTTATTATAGATGAGTTAGCATTATTCATACCGTATAACATAATACTACAGTTTTACTTTTTATATATTAAATATTAACAAAACTGTTATAAGATTTTCTAAAATTATTAAAATACATTGTAGCAACACAAAAACGACAACTAGAGCATTCAACTACATTGTTATATTTTAAGATACAGAGTCGAAAAAATTGTTCATTCTATGCTAATCATACAACGACTTTCTTCAGTTATGGAAATATCAAAATGTCTTTTACAGGCGGCCATGACATTCTTGTTCCTTTGAAATTGCATAAGATGTCTCAACATGAATATATTGAATCGGTTTAGATCAATTAATCATTAGTTAATTAAACTTCCTGTCCTAAAAGGACAATATCTTACAATAGTTAAAACTTACTGTTAAATGTCTCATCATGAATATATTTAATCGGTTTAAATCACCAAGTTATTAGTTAAATAAATCGTTTAAATTAAATCATCCTAAAAAGGACACTTTACACTAATTCATTTATAATTGAATCGTCCTAAAAGAAAACTTATCATTAATGCATTAGTTAATCCCGAAAATGACACTTAACACTAATTCATTAGTTGATTAAATCATTTCTAATTAAATCGTCCTAAAAAGACGTTTATCATTAAATTATTAATTATATTTTCTGACCACTTATATTTCTTAAATGGACGATATTAACCATTAATTAAAACTTACACTTTCACTAGTTTTTCTTTATGCTATAACTTGAAAAATAATTCATTTACACATGTTTTACAAAGGTGGATGGTGTTATACATCGTGTTACTATTGAAAATTGTTTTTCAGTGTGTCTCAACATGCGTCGCCAATAAAACGTTTATTAAATATCATGCAATAATAAACAGTGAAAACCTGTACTATCATCTACATGTTAAAGGTTACACAGGAGATGCAGGTAAGGTTTATAACAATACTGATCAATGATCTTGATTATATAGATTATCAGTAGAACACTCTTAGCGTTGAATATATTGTCTTTAATATCTAACAATGCACACCTTCTTATAACATACTCTAGTGTAAATATAGACTTGTAAACGTTGAATAAATTATTGTCTTATCAACTATGTCCAGACATATCACAGATACAGAATGTCACATTTTTACTGATAGTTAGCTTAATTAAACTGTCTTTTAACTCATTTGCATCTCTAACTTCATCCTAAACAGCAAATAATTTGTTTTATAATCTTTCATCCACGTGCATTAAAACAAAGTATGAACTTCAGCCAACAATGATGTTAACACTACAATAAATCTTGTGTAAGAATAGTACTAATAAATTTTAAGCTGTTTTTGTTGATTTCGGAGCTAGACATGAGATGTCTGAAAATATTTAATTAAAGTGGATGATTTTCTATTCACTCGACTCAATGTTCCATATTTTGTATTTTTACTAGTTTCGAGTTTAATATTTTTATGGTGATAAATATAAATTCAGAATGAAAAATGTTAACGGAACACAATTTATGTTAATGACTTTATACTCAACTTAGTCGTGTTTCTATGGTTTATTTTGTTTTTGTCTACATTAAAAACAATGACCAGAGAAAAAAACTTGTTATCAATTATTTTATGTTAAGGCACATAACTTCCAATTAAAAATATGTTAGTAATTCTTTGCAGGATCAGAACAGCAAACACTTAAATACAAGTTAAGTGTGAACATGGATTCATGGAACAGAATCACTTTTTAAAATTAAATTAAAAATCTTGAAGATATATATTCCCTCTATTAAATTTAGTTCATATTGTTATCGATATATTTAATTAATATGAAATTATTCCAGTTAATACTATTGTTACGTCTCTGTTCGTTTGTTAATTTCCCATAGAAATTCCTCTCGAGAAACTTCAGCAATACAAGTCCTTTCTTAAATAAAACTAGTTTATTCTTTCTCAATACAACTTTGCAATACCCTTAATTTCTACACTTAAACACACGCTATAATTCTCAACGAACGATTCACGCTCTTTACTTACTACCACGTTTGACTCAATTGTCCGTATCTGTCTGTCTGCAATTCTATCGATTCATTGTCTGGCGCACTTATATACAAGAATACCGCACATCTAGTAAACACTCGAGCATTCACGAACCTTCGAGAATATCATGACGTGTTGCTAGCGTCACGTGACTTCCGCTGTCGTAACACTATGATAACAATAATTATTACCTATATGTTCTACTAAACTCGATTCATTAAGGTTTCGTCTTTTTATAATTAAATTATGCCCTTTACGTTTAATTTTTAAATTTCTACATTTCAGCTAGTTAAAATAATTTTATATTGATTACTTGATTACGTTATAAAATATACATGTAATATCAGAATGATGCCTAACGAACAATAAAATATCACTACTTCCACCACTAAAAGGAAACATTTTTAACAATGTTTGCTACACTACGTAGACTGACGAATACTTTAAATGTGATTATTTCAGTTCGTTAATAATGTACAAATTTGTTAAACAAGACTTTCTTCCTCACACATCAATTCCTTGTAATCAAGTCAACGTGCAAGTTGATGTTTCCTTATGTAAACTACATAATACAGTTTGTGAACGAGACTATAAACACTAATTTATAAAGAACCAAAAATAAAGCAACTATATTCTTAAAATACTGACGTATCATTTTAGAGACCAATTTATTATTAATTAGATTTATTAGTTTACTGCCTATTTTTTGATCCTATATAAAAAAATGTGTATATTTTGAAATCAGTTGAATTTAATACTTCTAAAAACTATTTTATAAAACGTTTCTTCTTACAAATAACAATATTTCATAACCAGTATAAATATGACTTAGTTAAAAACATACAAGTCTACATAAATATAAATATATATATATGTTAAAATATGGTAACTTTAACACGATTATTTCACAAAATAATATATACTAATGATAGTTTACAAAACGTTATAATCTAGGACAAGCCAACGTTCAGTAAAAGGAAATCATCCATCCTTTCAGATAACACTTTCAAGAACTCTGGCACGTTTTCAGGCAACTCGTCGTAATATGGGCGACTTGTTACCAGGTCCACTGGCAACCGAAGTTCCCGACCAAACATCAGCTTTGCTGGAGTGTATCCAGTGGCTTCATGCTCTGCTGTTCTATAGGCCATCAACAGTAGAGGGAGTAAGTAATACAAGTCATCTTGG